AAAGCGGCCGCCATTTGGCTATCGTTAATGAGATCATGAAACAAATGCACATACATATTTGTGACATGATATACCTTGTGTGTGTGAAGTTTGAACTTGATCAATCCAGGCATGTCTCAGATACGGATCCAGAACTGAATTCTTTAAAACAAAATGGCCGCCAGTCGGCCATTTCGAACCCGATCCAAAAAAAAAAAAATGACGTGCATAAAGGTCCTATTATGTTTAATGTATGTACCAAATTTGAACAAAATCCGTCCATGCATAACTGAGATCCGGGTCCGGAATGGTGAAAATGTGCGATTTTGATGCATTTTCGGCCTTAAAATGGCCGCTATTCGGCTATCGTTAATCGGATCATGAAAAAAATGCATGTGCATATGTCCCATATAATGTGTGATGTATGAGTGAAGTTTGAACTTAATCGGTCCATGCATGTTCGAGATACAGGTGATCACGGACGGACGGACGGACCCACGCACACAGGGCAAAACATAACTAAACAAGGAGTATTCTTTGGAGCATAGCTATGTAAAAGAACATTCTAATTGCTTGGATGCCCACAACTGTACCATGTTTTATGGGATTGGTACAAGCTGCTGTAGAATGCCGGTCGAAGTGCAATCCTGAACAACCAAATTTATAAATGTTACACTGTTTATGAAAGTCTCAACAACTAGCCTGAAGAGTTTTCAACTGTTGATGGCTTTCAGGCCTGGTTGTTCGCTCCCGAAAATAACCATGCACCTCCTGATCAATTGCCACTTCTGATATTTTCTCTATCCAATTGACACATCAATTTAAAAGCAAGTGACATTGCTTATAGAGCTTTATATAGTATACAAATTATATTGGCCCTAATCTGTAAAATGTTTCGAAATATGTGAATGTAGCCTCCTACTTACACAACACCAAAGTCTTGATTGACCCAGAACAGGGTTCCATCATTAAATTCCTTCGGTGACTTGACCTCAGGTTTGCATATTACGACTTGTCTCTTCATTTTAGGGAACTGAATTAAGGACTGAAAGTAAAAAAGAACATTTTATGATTCATGTGTAGTGCAATAATATACATACAATATATTTATTTTCTCACAATTCAAGTGTCTTGTCATTGTTGACGAGTGGATGCCATTACAGCGGTTGAATCCCCTGAGCTGGAAAAAAACTGACACAGTTTTTATGGTGATTATTTTCAGATATCAAAAACTCAAACAATTCAACATAATTTTAATACAGCATTAAAAAAATAAAACAGAATAATACAAAGTTTAAAGAAGAAGTAAATGTATACATTCATGTCCTGAGAAAACAACTACAATATTGCATTTACTAGAAGCATATATGCTTTTCAAAAAAGGACTAGTATAAATGGATCAGTGCAATTGAACTAAATATCACAGCAAAACGACATAGGAGAAGTATTTCTAATAGAGCAAATATGTAATAATATATCATCAAGTCAATGACAAAGCCCTCACATAAACTTTCAATTTTTTTCTGAATCTGTGCATGATAAGTATGGTTTTCAGGTAAAAAAGTGTCAAAAGAAGCTAAAAATGTGTGCTGTATCATAGAGCATTGGCTGATTTTAACAAAATCCACTACAGAGATTGGTTACTAAAGTTTACACATGTTAAAACAATACTTCTAATAGAACAAATACAATAATAAGTAGAAACTTACCCATAATGTCCTTCGTAGTTCGGTATCTGGAAGTTCTGTTGCTAGTCGAAGATTCTCAAAAGTAATCTTTTCATACTGTCGCTGATTCCATGCAAATAACACTGCCATCTGGAAAGTGGTTACTTCCAAATCGTAAATTCCAACTTTATTCTTAAAAGTAATCTGTGGATAAACAAGTCATTGTCAATGACATAGTCCCTGTTTGTATTATAGACGCACAAAATGTATATACATGTATGACTAATGTGTGATGCATGTGTAATGTATGCGTGAAGTTTAAACTTGATTGGTCCAGGCATGTATGACATATAGCTCTGTGCAACTGTATTTCTTTAAAGAAGACGACTGCCAGTCAGCCATTTTAGATTTGTTGCTAACAAAAATGCATGTACATTTGTCCAGTATGATGTGTGTTGTATGTGTGAAGGCATGTCATATATAGAACAGCCATTTTGAACCCTATCTGAACAATAATATGAAATGCATCAAGGTTCCATTTTGTTCAATGTATGTACCAAGTTTAAACCAAATCCATTCTCACACCTGTGATCCTGTTCTGGAATGGTGAAAATGAGTGATTTTAATGCATTTTTGGCCTTAAAATGACTGCTATGTGGACATCTTGAATAAGATCACGAAACCAATGCATGTGCATAATTTAGATATAATGTCTGATGTATGTGTGAAGTTTGAATTTGATCGGCCCAAGCATGTTAGATATGACTACACACACATGCACATAAGGTCAGTCTACTAATTCAAACATGTACTAAAAAAACAACATTATTCCAAAATGCTGATTATGGTAATGAATGGCTACACAACAGTGTTAGAGAAAGATGTGATAGTTTTGAGGATCACATCACAAAATAAATTTGTTGAGTCGAGGCATATATACAAGGAAGGAACTGATATGTCAAAAAAACCAGTCAACAAACAAGCTGGTCTCTGATTGGTCTGATTATTAAGTGATAAGGTTGGGTAGCCAATCAGGTACAATTTAAGTACGGTAGCTTTGCATTATCTCACATGACCACATGTTTACAATTATGATAAATGTTGTAAACAAGAATAGGTAGTGAGCAGTGTTCTCCCCAGCATTCAATTTGTGTGCGGGGCCGCCACGCTGCTTTTCCTGCCCGCCACTGTGGTCTCGAGCTGCCACGGTGATTAGTAAGACCGCCACAGTGCTTTTTTCATTGTTCATCCTGTGAACTGTATTACGAAATATAGAAAGAAATACGTAGCTATCAGGGATCTTGCCACGCTTCTGACCAGGACTATTGTCCGACGTACCAACCGACACGCATCCTGCCAGTCGTGGATTATAATTTGTAAACAATAGACGTAGTCGCAGGACGTGGTAGTGGCTTATAAACAATACAAGTTAATTTTGTAAAATTAGCACCTCTTTGTTCGTAAGTAAATAATTTAACGATCGACGCAGTCTTTAGATTGAAAGATAACATTTTTTCAAAATCAATTCCACCCCGAT